GTTGCACCAATTCATCAAGCATTGGCATGGATCAGCTGTACCACAGACTTGACTACATGAATCTATAAATATATAAATATAATTTGTCAATTTTTCTGACGATTTATGACAACATATTTGATTCTGTCAATAATTGTTGTGGTTGCAGGAATTATACATCGAATAGACGATTTTGAGGTTTTACAATTTTTTTGTCTGAGTATGTCATACAGCCAGTCTCAAATCAGGTAAACATTTGACTTGACGGTTGTCGAATTAATGTGTAGTAATATTATACATTTATTTAGAAACACTGTTTACATTGCTTACCGCACGTTATTCCATCTTCGCTCAAGACAAACCCTTCATCACATCCGCAATTAGCAGTTATTCCATCTGAGGATTCACAGGTGTGTTGACATGGGTTGTCAAGCACACATATGCCAGGCCCTGCGAACAAAGGGATTTAAGAGGTCAACTAAGATTCGTGATGGACAAGGCACACATATACTATCCATATGATGGATAGTTTGCATTGATTTGATTGATGTAAAAGACTTATTCATTCGATTTGAACATAATTATACTGAAACACTTTTGTCCAACCTGAATATTGACAAACATATGATTTTCTCCTCCAGCAATAGTCGTCGTCTAAATTCCATGTATATTTTGGAGCCTTATATTGCCTAAAATGTACATAAAACAGGCGTATATAAAATATATAATGTTTACTATGAGCCATTCAGATTGAGGGTAATACAATTGAGAGTATTTCCAAAGGGACTTTCACAATATATAAGCCCACACATCGCCACATACGTTATAATTTGAATAACACAAATGGATAGAAACATTTTCAAATTATTTACACATAAAAACAACATGCAAACTATCAGAGTTGTTTAACATGCCAGGCAAATAATATTCATATATGCATAGACTGACATGTTTAATTCCATTTATATTATATAAAAAGGTATTATGGTTGTTACCCTTTTTTGGCATTTGAATATTGTCATGTACAACATAGTAGCAATATATACAATGGTCCTATCGCATGCAATACAGGAACGGCTGATTGACTTTAAGACAGTTCCACACAACAGGAATATGTAGTTGTATTCAGATAACTCACTAGCTACATTTTTGTACGAAAGAGTTAGATTTTGTTTTGTAGGCATCTATGTGAAATGTCATATTAGTAGAACAAGTATTTTTGATTCGTATGCATACACCAACGTGGGAGAAATTATAGTTTACATCACCTTAGCATTCAAGATATATATGACGGACAACATCCAAGAATGTGCATTGATTTTGTAAAAAAACTCGGGCAAACATTGACACGCAAATGAATAGATCTAATAAATTTTAGTCCACCTACCATAGTTGAACACAGTCTTGCCCAGCCACATCTCTCTTCACACTATTGCCTGGTTGTCCGCTGTACCATTTTTCATAATCTGTTGGTAATTGCTCGCCATTAGTGAACACGAATTGCCCCTCATTCACAGAATCAGTAGCTCCAATCCAGTAACCATTACCCATACACTCTCTTAAGGTATCGGTTTGGGAGTTGATATGCTTTCGTATTTTCCTGTGTACTTCTACGTCGTTGACAACTGCCATCATGTCGTAAGCATTGTCACATACTTGCCTGGCATTGGCCCAATTCTGTTTGTCATTGTAAAAGAACTTGTAGCATACGTTATTATCTGGATCACATGCATCTATTTGGATAAAAATATTGAGAATTCCAGATCACTATATTTATACCATATGTTTTATTATCAGGTATTACAGTACTTCACTTGTTACACGGTACAAAATAATACAAATCCGATACTGTGTATATTACTAACATGTCTTGCAAAATACATAATTTTTGATATACAAAACTGAATTTGTTTACGTACCGTCAACGTCCATCTGTAATAACAATTAAGGAAGTTGTGTTAGGGTTATATACAGCACAACGTATGAAAATTTCGCTAAAATTGAATCAATTTGATAATTCATTTAGCGTGTGTATCAAATGCAAAACGAATACTTAACTGTTTGATAAATAATACATCAGGAAAACGACCTACCTGAATCAGATCGCTTGCATGGATTGAAGTCCAGAATAAAGTCAATGCTAACCCAACGCACATATAATTCATTTTAACTCTGGCCAATGCTTTCCGTTTCTGAATAGGCTGGAATGATAACAAAAATATAACAATTGCAAATAACAAAATTGGAGTATTTGAAAGAAAAAATCTTAATAACTGCGATACTTACTCAAAATGCTCTGCGAGTGAGTCAGTTTTACACTGTACCGTTTGTATTGCGATGCTTTTCTTTTATAGACTTCTTGTCAGCTGCATATCATGTTCAGCAGGTTGAAACATGCTTCTTCGTGTTTTGGTTTTCGCTGACATGCGCGTTTTTTTGACAAAGCGTGATGTGCCGGAATTCCAGAAAAAAAAATCTTCAGCGATAACGCAGTGTCAATATTTGTGTTGAACAACTTAAATATCTTTGTTATGATGATAGTATAAAAAAACAAAAAGGAGAGAACTATGTATAATCGAAGACATTAGGAATACAATGGAATGATATTTGTTAATCTAGACAGTGTCCGTTCATTTTATTTGCGTTGTTTTATTTATATACTTGGGCTACAACAAAAGTCTGTGTGTTATGATACAAACCATATGAATAGTTCAGCTGCTCATTCAATATAAAGCTCATATTTACATATGACAAACGTTGACAAACCAAGCTAATATAATGATAAGAGCCAGTTGCTAGCACACACAAATGAGGCATTGCCATAAATAACCGAATATTATTAAAGACAAAACATGCATTGAAATAACTTGTAATAATTTACTCAGAATGCATATTCAATACTAGCAAAATACGCACAAAGAAGTAATAATTATTGTAATATTACATATATCAATGTCTGTGTCACATATACAGTATAAATGGACCTGATAAATAAAACAACAGATACGACCCAGACAGTTTGGATCACACTGGACTAACAATATTGAAATGTTATGTGTTATACACAAAAACATGTAATGAGAATATGCTTACCTACATTGTTATATATCTATAGGATATAACATCATAATCAATAATATCATTAACTCAAATTCTTTACTCAATAATGTGTTTATAAATTATTCGGGTAATAGAAAATGAAGTTCAAAACACAACACCATAATTACATAATTACTGGCCCACAGTTATTTCTTATTAATTCAGAACAAATATTTCAGCTAAAAATAATAAATTTTCACATAAATACGAAATGTGTGTATACTTAAACGATTAACAAGTCATAAGTGTAGATCGTGGAATATATAATTAGGTTTTAGAATATGACGTCAAAGCAAATAAATGTAGCTGCAACGAGTATTGGTCAGTTTGGGACATTAAGCTGTTTAAATCAAGTTTCTAAGAACATGGCTGCCAGGGACCACCCCAGCATATATAAAATAAACGCATACTCGAAGTAAACTGTACTGATTGTAATAGTTGCTTGGTGGGTGCCAAAGTATATGTATTACTCAGTATAGTGGATATTTGTGTTTTAATTCTCCAAGAATTCGATTTTCTTGTTGCTAGGTTACTTTAGGCGTTGGGTTAGTTGTTAGGAACACGTCCAAAACACGTAAAAACCAAATATGAAGAAAGAAGGTGATTGTTTTTTTCTCTGACTTTAATGTGAACTTGAGATATTTATTTGTTTTTGCTTTGCATATTGAATACAGCGTATATCAGTGTGATTGTTACAATATTTTATATTTTGACCCCTTATAAAATTGAACAACGCAAACCACCATATTTTCAATGTAGTCACTTTCACCCACACATTTCATTATTTTTGTTATATTTATCTAATAGAAACTCATAAGAATTCTTGCCAATTTGCATATAAACACAGTAAAAAGCAGACAAAATTAGCAAAGATACCGTCAGATATTAATTAGAAGATTTTTAAGGGAGATACAAATGTACGAATACAAATGCATAATTTCCTGCACAGTGAGATGTAACATCGTTCCAATTTGTTATGTGCGGGACTAAATGCAGTGCGCTCATTGTAAATTAGTTGTATACACAGATAAAGTATCACCATATTCAAAAATGAAAATGTATTTTGCAAATGAACAAGTACACTAGCAACACAGTCTCGCCCATTTTCTTTAAATCATTTTACAATTTGCATGATTCTTTTTCAATTCGCGCGAGATTGTCATTGTACGTCACACCACTTACATGTGATCTTCTAACTGACACGCACACAACATGATGAAGACAGTAAAATAATTACATCGAAGATAGGGATTTCTTTTAAAGTTGTATTTTTTACACATTATATATTTGTAGAATAGTATAAGCAAATACATTTTACTGCTTTAAACTGTCATTGTATATGTTGGTAAATGTATTTATTGATGCATTAAGTTCTAAACTGTCAAGATCCTGTTAGAACTTATTTTTATGTGTATTACAACTACGTCATAGAATTAAAAAAATGGTGTTAATAATACCAAAGAAAATCCAAATGAGTGTATATCAGCTTTGTTTGCTTCATAATATAATATACGACGACACACCAACTGTACAGTCTTTGCGAATCGTTTTTAAAATGTAACGCTCCTAACTTGTCATTTTTCTTTATATTATTAATGATATATTCATGTAATTTTTTTGCATTCTTTATTGTTGTTTACTGGGAAAATTGTTTAATTAACAGGAAGAAGGCTGCATTAAATTATCGTCACATTTGTCATCAATATGTTTCTCGCATATGATTTGCTGTGATAGAGATCTCATTACGCGTGTTCATCTATTAAACGCATTTTTAAAACTGCCAACACTGAAAGAATGAGACGTATAGTGAGGTTTATAGTCATGAGTGCTCACGGAAATTTCAATTGTAAATATTTTTCAACAAACATATTTCACCTGTTTGAATCATCATGTGTATCTATGGATGAGTTTGCTGATTGATAGATGAGATACCATGCTTTCAAATACCTGTTAGAACTCGTTTTAATGTGTTCTGCAACAAATACACTTCATAATCGCACATAAGATAAGTAATACATATGCCGTAAATATACGACAGCACTTATGAACTTATGATTGTTCTTTATTAAAATATCCATATAAAACTGAAATTTAACGATACTATGCATATGAATATTTTCCTACAATGAAAGATGGACCACTTTTTTCAAAATAAATTCTTCTAATGAGAGATTTAAAGCCATACGACATTTCAATTCTTATGTCCCTCAATCAAACACATTTCTAACCAATGACATCACTGGATACAGTGGGATCAACAAAGTTCAATTGTATATACATAAATGAGCAAGAGTATCGTCATATTCAAAACCATAAATTACCTTCTATGCGAATGTTCAATGACACAGAAAAAGTGCCACCATATTCAGAAATGAAAACTTATTTTGCAAATGATCAAGTACACTAGCAAAACAGCGTCACTATTTTTTTCCTAAATCATTTAACAATTCGCGTGATTCTCATAAGTTCGCGCGTGATTTTCATTGAACATCCCAATACTAGCATGCAGCGATCTTGCAACTCACACGTATTCTGAATGCTAAATTCAATGAAAGAATAATATCCGTGAATCTTTCAACAAGGAATATATTGTGGAATAGTTTCAGCAAATACATCTTATTTTTTGAACTATCATTGTATATGTAAGTACATTTAGTACTGATTGCTGATACATTAGGTTCTAAGCTGTCAAGCTCCTGTTAAAACTTATTTTGATATGTATTACAACAACGTAAATTTATTTATTTGTACATTAAGTTCTAAGCTGTCAAGATCATGTTGGAATTTGTTTTGATGTGCATTACAACAACGTCATAGAATAACCAACTAGAGTCAATAGCAATTGTGATTTTCATTGCACATCCCAATACTAGCATTCAGCGATCTTGCAACTCACACGTATACTGAATGCTAAATTCAATGAAAGAATAATATCCGTGAATCTTTCAACAAGGAATATATTGTGGAATAGTTTCAGCAAAAACATCTTATTTTTTGAACTATCATTGTATATGTAAGTACATTTAGTACTGATTGCTGATACATTAGGTTCTAGGCTGTCAAGCTCCTGTTAAAACTTGTTTTGATTTGTATTACAACAACGTAAATTTATTTATTTGTACATTAAGTTCTAAGCTGTCAAGATCATGTTGGAATTTGTTTTGATGTGTATTACAACAACGTCATAGAATAACCAACTAGAGTCAATAGCAAAGGAAATCAGAAGGTTTCTGTATTAGTTTTGTGTAATTTATAATTTGATAAACGAAGACACACCAACTATACAATCTTTGCGCATTGTGTTTTCAAATATAACACTCCTAACTTGTTAATTCTCTTTGCATTAATAATGTTATATTCATTTCAGTTTTTAAAAATCATTCTTGTGGCATGGTGATATTCTGGAGTCAATAAATAATAATATGCATTGGCCATTTTTTCTTTATCTGAAAGAGATTTTTAATCACCAGGAAGACGGCTGCATTTAGTGATCATAACACATTGTTATAAATATTGTTTGCGTATGATTTGCTGTTATAGATATCCCATTCCGCGTGATCGTCATCCAAACACATTTCTAAAATTTGCAACACTGAAAGCATTATACATATAGGCAAGGTTTTATTTCCTGCACAGAAACGAGTGAATTGTTGTCAGACGTTAAAACGGAAAAACGCACTTCAGGTAGAGATGCAGTTTACCTGACAGGTATTTTAATTAGTTAATTAGGAAACCAAGATGACCTCCCTTGTTCGCTATACTATATATTTTCAGAAAGCTTATTGTATGAATTTAAAAAAACTATAGTTTGAAATATGCACAAAAATGTGCCTTTTTGGTCAAAAGTGATTAAAACAATTAGCTTCTAAACCATGCTCCTGTTTTCTGTCAAAATTTGTTTACGGGTATATCTGTTTATTATGAAGAAAGTGCCGCCTTGAAAACTGTTTACCAGTTGTCAAATTTACAGGGCAGAAGCTCAAATTTCACTACTTCAAGTTTATGAATAAATTAACATCCATGTTAGTTGTCTGTACGATTGTTGTAACACTGTTCAACCAGAAACAATGCCCCGATGGCGTTTTGAAAATAAACACATTGTCAGTGATTTGTGAAAATTTCAAAACAAAAGGTCAAAGCGTCAAGGAGCTATTTTTTTAAAGTTCTTGGATGTTCACTAAAATGAAACTGAGATAATTGCTAATTTGCATAAC